TGATATACGAGCCAAAATGCCCTTTTTACTATAGTATGGGACCCCTTTTTCGCCTTCGGGTAACCATAATACACGATTTTTATTAGCTCGATTTTATTTCAAATAAGTACCAATGTTGTCAACATAATTAATCGCAAGTTTTAGTTGAAAAGAATGCTCTGTTATTTAGATATGCGCCAGATACGTAATTTGTCTGTTTCACAAGTAGAGTTAAATACTTGGCTTGATTGAATGCACTATAACTTCTTCAAGACAGTTGCAAATTAACTGAAAGTTTTTTTTATAACATCTGGATGATAAAACCTCTTCATCAGTAAATTCCGAGGTCAAAATTCAAACAATCGTTTTTTCGTATTATATTACACCATGACCGACAAAAAGCCTTCAAACTAGAGCTACTTTGAAACTAAGGCAGAACGACTCTCACTCTTGTGGAATTATTGCAACTACGGTATGGCATAACTATTTTGATCAATTCCATCGTAAAAAAACTTTTCTCGTTTCTTAAAATTCTTGCATAGGTTTGGTTTTTGTGTCGATATTGTGTTAATTCTTTCTCTGGATAATTTTTTATCCATATTTTGCAATTTGAGCTGTATCTACAAAAGTATTTTTTATGTCCCACGTCAAATAAAGTTGGTGACTCGTGTTTCGAGCTAAAGTCAGTAAGAAAATTTCTTAAAAGATGTTTACCAGAAGGCGAAAAAGGGGTCCCATACTATAGTAAAAAGGGCATTTTGGCTCGTATATCAAAATTTTCCATGTCATGCCCACTTTTTTATGCATTTTCATGACGGGTTCAGATAGAGTGTGAAAAACTACATCGAAATGATATGGTTTTACTTGTGTTCAAGACTGTTCAATGTCATAATGGAACACTAGAAAGGAACGTCTACTGTCTACCGTATCTTAATTGGGCTCGTGTTTTGCATTTTCAAAGTGACAAGCGTATCTAATGATTTTTATTTCTTTGAATTCTGATAAAGCTTGAAAAATTACGTATTATTGATGTTCTTTAAAATGTCTCAACGCTTAGTCACTGGAATACCAGAGCCTAAATCCTGATTTGGACCCTAAATCCAAGTATAAGTCGAACCAGAAATTCGGCATAGTAAAACATTTATGACATTTATGACAGTGATATTCGTAATCAGCATGTTTGACTTGTTATTCATAACAGTTTTGAAAAAGTGAACTTTGAAAAAAGTTTTTTCGAATCCCGTAGGGGGTACAAAGGTCAAAAACCCGAAAGTAATTTTGAACAAAATGACCCTGCGGTATGGATAGCCCGTATGCACCTTGTCATCATTATATAGTTATTTCTTAAAAATATTTTGGGCCGAAAAGTGGCCTTACCGCCACTCCTCCTTTGTAGTCTCGATAAAGTATTCAGCTTTCTCATAAAGCTAGTGGACTCGATATACTTTCCAACAAGATCGTTAACTTTTAATGATATCTGACGTCAATTAGTAAAAATGGAAATGTATACATTGTTTCTAAAGTTCTGCGTATCTTTTTCTTTGCAAAATTAATCTAGCTTAATTGACTTGTAACAATTGGATCATGTCGAGAAAACTTGAATGTAGTACTTTCAATTCTCTTTTGAATGAGATATTGATAAAAATTATCCGACTTACAATGATCGGCAGTGAACTCTAAAATGGGACCCATCTTTTTTTCCTTTCGAGTAAACTTCGATGCGCTCTAACTCGATAATTAAATGTTGAAAAGATACACTAAAACTTGGGATTTATAGATTTCTAACAATGCTCTATCGCTCGATTTTATTGCAAATTATCTCTTAGATAAAGTTTATAATCAAATTTTTCGATCATTTACCTGGTCCAAGTGAATGATAAAAGACAGGTATTAAGTAAACAGGATCATAAATTTGATCACCTTCTTCATATATTTGTGGTTCAATTGTCTAAAAGAAAAATAGAATTTTATTTTGATATCAAAGAAAAATGAATCTAAACTAACTCTTAATCTTCTTTTTACTGGATAAAATAAAATCGATTTCATCATCATTTTATCATTTAATAAACTCATTATTTGTTCTAATTTTGATGCTTGTAATAAAATATTTTTTGCATCTGTTGTTGTACTATATAATTTTAATGCAGCTTCACCCCAAACAAAAGCAGATTTCATTGGATAACCATGTTTTTCGTATGTATACATACAAGCTAATGTATGTTGATCATTTTTTGATAAAGTTGGATTATAAATTGATAATAACATAGGAAAATGTTTTGGAACAATCAATTGTTATTGATGATTGTATTGAATCATAATGTGAAACAAATAATGATACAATATCAACTAAACTTGAACGATTTAATGATGAAAGTTGTTCAAGAAAATCTTTATGTTTAAGAAAATTAGCAAATAATTTTGATAAATGTTGTTGATCACATAATTCTTGAGATACCAAAAATTGAACGAAAGTTTTTAACAAATTTATTGAATTTATTGTTAATGTTTTAAAATATTTCAATAGATGATTTATTAAATTATATAAATCAATTTGAGATTTTGTTTGAGTTAGAAGACGATTGGTACATTGTTCGAAAGAGATTAACCATTCATCAATATTCCTATAGAGCAAAAAGAAAAGTTATGAAACAATTCGTTTATGATAGAAAGAAAAAAACTTCAATAACTATCCATAGAAAATCAGAACTCAACGATCTCAGAGATTTAGAAGTTTTTCGACTATAGTTTTTAATAAATGTTGAAGTCTCATGATGTCTAGATGTTTATTGTTTCTTTCTTAAGTTGTACCAGGATTTTGTCAGTGAAGGATGGAGCAGACTTAAGATGATCGGATTCTACCCAGCAATGTATAAATGGCAATGTCTAGGTAAAATGAGAATTGACCATGAGTACCGTCACAGTTCCAATATTTGTAAAAGTCAAAGTGGTGTTTTTTCTCCAATGGTTCACTTATTCACACATTCATGTTGATGAGTTCCTGGATGAATGTGAATGTACGACAAAAACTTTTGAGGATAGGTTTTTTTTATTTTGACAAGAATAGGACTGTAAGGAAATTCAGAAGGAATTACTATTTCTTATATAAATTATCTTATTGAAAACTTATTCAGCGAAGTCCATATATAAACCAACTTGCATTTGTTTCTGCACTTGATTGTAGACTAAATGCTGTCATTGTAAATTTTATAATGTACAATCCAATACAAGAATTACAAAAAAACATGTGTGATAATGTTGAAAGTATAGTTGGGGAAAAACAACCTGTACAAGCGAAACCTGTTAAAAAAAAAGCTGCACAAGTAAAAACCGTTCAAGAAGAACCTGAACAAACAAAACCTGATCAAGAAGAAGTTGAAGAAACATTGGATGAAGAAGTCAGAGTTTTAATAAAAAAACGAAAAGGAATGGTAAGTCTCAAAGTAATGTGACTAAGGAAAGATTTGCTTTTGAAAATAGAGATAAAAATTACATGGATTTTTGAGTCAAATAAGGATAAGAAAAAATTTTACTTTTTTTTTCCTATTGTGCCCTGTTTCATTCTACTATGCAAGAGGTCATTGTTAAAGAATGGACGTCCATTGTGACGAATGAAGTTATTTTTTCTTGTTCAGACAAATTGATTAGATGGCTCATATAAAATATAAATGAACAAATAACGTTTCTTCATAGAAAATTTTCTTTCTATACTAACATTTCTGAAATTTCACTTGAGAATGTGTCGACCGATATCTCCACCGCAAATTCGTGTAGTAAGTAAATTTTTAAAATAGTGACACTTGAGAGATTGAATATATTTTCATTATAGTAATATATAAAGGCGTATAATATTTTCTTCTTTCCTACTTTAATCAATAGCCTTTTGCATCATCATATTTCTTTATTTGTTATATGTGGTAAATAAAATTGCTTTTTTTTATAGCGTTATATTGTTAATCCAACTGGCAATCAAATGAATATCTTCAACAACAATGATCAAGCAAACGTTTCACAACAAACTTCTGGCAGTGAAAGTGAGTTAATGAATTTTAAATAAAATTAGATATTAAATAATTTGTGTAAAACTTTTTTACTTTAGATGCTACACCAATGATGGTAATCAAAATGGAGATAATGAATATACTCAAATCTTTCATAACTATTGGACGTACTTTGTTCGATTTATTCAAGCAATATGCAACTCTTCATCGTCATTGATTTATGTGATATTTTGATTATCAATGTATGATTTTGTCTATGTATTTATTCAAGAAATTCAAATAGAAAGAAATAAAAAATTGAAAACTAATTTTTTTTAATCAGATATAACTAATTGGTTCAGTAGGAAGAAATGAAGGTAGAAAAATATGATATGCGTATGCTTGATATATGCTCACATTCAAGTGCAAATGATTATAATAGTAAAACGAACAAAATTTGTCAAAATATTCGAAGTGATTGGCAATGTTGTAATGAAGTTCAACCATTGAGAACAGTTGTCAAACGCCTTATTAATTTTCTTGATCAATTTCTTAGTTTGTAATATACAACAGCACCTTCATAAATGACACTTATGTTAATGTATCATGTAACTGCTTGATTTTGTAATTCACAAAGATCTTCATAAATGTGTGGAATATACTTTCATAATATTGACTTAGTTTGAAGAAAGAGATACATAAACCATTTGTTTCAGCAAGAATTTGAAAGTTACATTATTTCGCAATTCATATATGTAATCGTCATAATTCAATGGACATATATACTATTGCATTTGATGAACATACATTCGATACACCATTTTTCTATATTCGAACGATTATTTTCAGTAAAATTGTCTTTACATAAAAATGCATAACTTAATATTTGATTTAATAATAGATGATAGTTTTCATATTGATTACAAGGATTACTTGAATACAAGTTTTTCATACAATCCAATTTGACCAATCGAAAACTTTCGAAAGACGAAACAATACAAGATAATCGAAATAAATCGGTTATTGACAAATAGCAACAGTTTGAGATTTTAAACGTATATTAAGTTCATAAAAGAGGTATGTAAATTTCTAACTTGGAGTCCCAAAATATGTGATTTTAATTTCATGAACTTCAGAATCAACATTGAATCCTACTAATTTTTCAAACATGGGGTCCTCGTAAGATATCGAAAAACATTTTTCATTAACAAACTATTAAAAGTTCTTATACTTCAATAGAGCTGAAGGTGCTGATTACAAATACTACAATTTTTGTTTCAAAGGTAGTCTCATAATAACGAAGATCTGAAGCATTTTCTGAAAAATTCTTAAAAAAAAGATTTCAACTAAGAGTGAAAAATAGGACTCAGAATATCACAACACTAGTAGACTTCAATAGATTTTTGAAGGTTCTGATTGATTTAGTGGCAGGATATGCTTTTTATTCTTGCATTCAAAATCATGTTGGACTTCAGTCAATTATAAAAATTCAGATTATCTAAATGATGAATAGCTTTGTAAGATATTTCCAATTCTTACACTATACTATGCAATCATTTATATAATTACTTACAGCATTTATCTCCTTGAATTAGGCAAATACATATTGAAAAATCAGAAACTTTCATAGAAAAGTTAACAAAGAACAATAAAGACTTCATAGTTCTTCATACAGTTTGCTTTAATTACTAGTAGTTTCTATTATCTTAGATCATGAATTAGATGGTTTTATTTGCAGCACGATACTGCTAACATTTTTATTTCTTATTTTTTGTTAACAAAAACAAGATAACAACGAAGTATTCTTCATGATTGTTGAACAATCAACAATATGTTTTATCTGTTTTATCTTCGGAAAAATTTTCGATGATTTTAAACGTTCTTGATGTTTTATTAAAGTAGATATCACATTATCGGCAATTGATGATGCAATTGTTCTAAATTATAGAACAAACCTAATTGAAAACGAAAAAGAAAACAAAAAATAAATCCTACGTTTCAGTTTTTAATCGACGTATAAATAACATCAGAAGACAATCAAATTCTAATAATTGTACTTGATTATCAATTGATACTAAACGTAAACCAATATTTTGAGTAATCAATGATAATATCATCAAACATTCACTAGAACTAACAAAATAATTAATAATTTAAATATTTATTTATTAGTTTTATTTTTTTTACCAATTTTTAACGCTAACTTGTAACCAAAGAAGAAATCCATAATCAAATAAGAGTGACATTAATACATCTTGAAGTTTACTTGTAGAATAAAAAACATTAAGAATTTCAAGCTAAATAGTATAAAATATTGATTGAATAGAAAACTGAATGAAATAAAACAAACTTTTGTTGAATCATCACATAATGAACAATCATAAAATGTCATTAATGTTTTAAATACATATGCTTTTGTACATAATGTATAATCAATTGAATCTTTTATACCATGTTTTAATAAATTTAATATCCACCCACGTTCATATTTATACTATCAAAACATAAAATAAAGTTTTTTCTTTTTTTTTAAATTGAAAAAAATACAAACTTCAATTGTTGAACTATGGAAAAGATCACTAAAAAGTGGAACATGAACAAGATCGATATATGGTTGTTTAAGAAGAAATCTTGTTATTGTTCGATACATTTTTGATTCTAAATGTTGAACAAAACAAAATTTTCAAATTCTATCAAAAATTAATTTTACCTGGATGAGTAAATAAATCAACTAATTTTGATAGAAATAATCCAACAATCGGTGCTAATTTTAAATTGGGTTTTTTAATACTTTGTTTTAATAATGTAAGCATTGTTAATATTTGTTCTTTACAATAAAATCTTTGTGATATTAAATGTTGTTCAAAACGAGCAAGACAATTGTAAACAACAGCTCGTAATAAACCACATCGTGAACTTAATGCCATAAGACAATAAGCAAGACAATGTTTTTCAACAAATTGTTGACATTTTACTACGCATTCTAAAATGAATATTTCATGACAGTTTTAAGTTCAAAATAAAAATTCTTTATTGAAACATCAGACTATTAGAGTTTAGTCTTATGACTTATTCAGAATTGAAATTACAACAGTTTAACTCTTAACAGAACTCAAACTATGTGCTTTCTGCTTCATGCACAGAGTGGAAAATTCTAAATATAATACAGATGCAAAATATGAGTGTGTAAGACACAAAAAGAAAAGCTTTTATTTATGTTGACATTAGAATTGAATCTCGATTTCCGCCCCACTCTGTCTATCAGATTCATAAAGAAAATAATTTGTAGAATCTCAGGAACAGAGTAAAAATTTCGATTTACTAATTGATGCTAATTATCATTATTAGATAAGGAATAAGTACTTCTTCTTCTTTTTCTCAAATCACATTCGAGTTTTTAGCGGGCGTCTAGAAAAATCTTAAAACAAAGTCTCGAACTTCGCATGCTCTCTCGACTAAAAATCTGAAAAAATATAAAAATCTGCATAAAACAAAGCTTTTCTCAAGACGCGCTAAAAGCTCGAATGTGGCTTGAGAAAAACAATAGTTCTAATGGTCACCAATCGAAAGAACTACTGAATTTTTAGTCTCGGTAAAGTTTTTAGCTTTCTCATAAAGCTAGTGGACTCGATATACTATCCGACAGGATTGTTAACTATTAATGATACGTGGCATCAATTACTAAATCGAAATGTCTACCTTGTTTCTGAAATTCTACAGATTTTTAAATCTAGCTAAATTGACTTGTAACAGTTGGATCATGTCGAGAAAACTTGAATGTAGTACTTTCAATTCTCTTTCAAATGAGACATTGCTAAAAATTATTCGACTTACAATGATCGGCAGTGAACTCTAAAATGGGACCCATCGTTTTTTCCTTTCGAGTAAACTTCGATGCGCTCTAACTCGATAATTAAATGTTGAAAAGATACACTAAAACTTGGGATTTATAGATTTCTAACAATGCTCTATCGCTCGATTTTATT